TGTGTGGCCAGCTCAGCCCACCAGGGGGTGGGGCTGGCTGGCATGTGGTGCTGGGGGATTGAACCGTGGTCCCTGTGTTTTGCTTAGCTTAGCTTGTTCTAAGTAGGTGCTTTAGACCACTGAGCCATCTCACCAGCCCCTAAAAATCATTATTAAAGAGAAAAAAAGAAAAACAAAATTTCAAAACAGGATAATAGGAGGCAAGTCTTAAATTTCTTCTTTCACATCTCCACTGCCTTGATTCATTGGTATTTTTCATCTAGATTCTCCGAAAAGCCTTCTAGCAATGTTATCTCCAACCTATAGGCCTCTAGTTCATGTCTTGCTGATAGCATCGCTGTGATCTTTCTGCAGTGCTGTTTCGCCCCTCCTTGAAACTTTTCACTAGCCAAGATAACACTAGGTGTGCTACCACGGACACTTAAGGTCCTTACTTACTTTTCTTTTTTTTTTTATTTTATTCTTTCTTTCTTTCTTGCCTATTTTTCTAACCTGTTTACTCACTGTTTCCATATCTCTTAAAGTTTGTGCTTTTACAGACAGAATCACTCAAATTTCCCTACACATTTCATACCTCTGTGCCTCCTCACGTTGTTTCCTCTTTGAGGTCAGAAACATCTATGTGTTCTTTAAAGCCAGCTCAGCCCACAGTCTAATTCTAGAAAGGCTTTTGCCACAGCCATCTGAGTAGAGAGGTAATTGCTTCTTCCTTTGTGTTGTCACTGTTCCTTACATGAATATTTGGGGTAGCCCTTAGCACACTGTGCTGAAATGGTATGTTTGCATGGCTCTCCTCAAAAAGGTCTTCTTGAAGGGAAAGCCTGGGTCTGATTCATTTCTGCATCTGTTGGGCTGACAACAGCCCTGATGCATAGTGATGAGTACTGGTCCTTTAATAGTTCAGTTATACCTTTTAGCTTAGCTCTGGCAGGATAAGTTTTTCATGTGTGTGCTGTGGACCAATCGATAGCCTTTTACATGCTAAACACACACAGTACCACAGAGCTACACCTCTAGCCTCAGGACTATTCTACTCATTTGACCAGTGACATAGTCTGTCTTGTTGAAAGCGGTGCCTTTGATGTGGCTGTGGCTTGTCTTTGTCTGCATTACACTGGGAGCCTCCTGAGAGCAAGGACTATTCTTCATATTTTTTATCCCATAATATCTTCATGGGGTAATGCTAACTGCAGGCACCCAGCAACTGTTTATGCAGCTGTTGAAGCTAACATAGTAGCTCAGTGCTGTTTATTTTCTTCCTGCTTGTCCCTTTTGAAAACTCTAGGGTTTGACAGTTTCTCATTTCTCAGACTCATATAGAATATGTATAGTAAATGGTTATGCTTATGTGTTTCTTTCCACAGGCTTTGGATGAAGAGTATTTAAAAGTAGATGCTCAATTTGGAGGTGTTGATCAGAGAAAAATATTCACCTTTTCTGAGAAGGTTGGTATCCTCTTTCTCCTTGTACTGTTTGATACATTGTTTCAACTTGAGACGTTTAGAAGTTTAATTAAGTGACTCAGCAGGGAGCCAAGATTCTTAGTTTGTAAACATCCTCATCCTGTGCAAGAGGAGGG